CACACACACACACACCTCTCCACCCCTCACCAAGTTGGCGTGGAAGATACTCTTTATCTCACTGATTATCATGTCTGCTGATGTGGACATTCAAATATAGGGCGATTGCTGCCCGACCTCGAGGACACGCTGATAAATAACCGGAGGGCGACGCCCCTCTGTGAATCTGGCACAGTTGAACACTGTAACACTGTTCTGTGGGATGAAAAACATACACACACACACACACACACACACACACAGACAAAAGAGTGGGTTGTTTGTATTGCTGCCAATGGGAGTCACTCAGCTGAGCCCCTCTCTGTGTCCCTCACTCTTTCCTTTGTCGGCCGAGTTTGTGCCTGGCATGGAAATGACTGATTGATACTGACAGCCTGGGATCCTCAGTTCTACGGCGAGCAACCTCCCCCACCCCSTTAAAAAAAGAACAATACCAGAAAGTTTCTATTCTTTTAGAGGAACTAAGATTTTCCTCAGCAGACAACTAACATTTTCCAGAGTAATATATCTGAGCAACTTTTTATTTATATTTATATATATAAATAAAGCAGCATTCACCTGCATCGCGCAGTCATTCTCTTTGGAATCTACAACGAGTAGTTTTTTTTTTTTACATTTTTTTTGTCAGAAAACGAATGGTTGAATCTGTTGTTTGATTATGAAAATCAACTTTTGATTTTGTGTTAAAGAAACGATGGTCGAAACGAAAGATAAGTGGGGTGTAAAAAAACTGGAACCAGGAGCGAACGAGGACATCGGGAAGCTATGGGCAAAATCACAAGAATAGAACGTAAACTCAGCTGGATAAACTGCCTCGACTCAAAACAAAATGCAAGAAACCCAGAGAGCATTACGAAACAAAACCACAAACAAAGACTTAACTTTATTTAAGTTGATGTGTCATCATTTCGGTGTTGACAACTTTTATATGCAATGTTTTGTTTTAAAGGGATCCACGTTTAGTTGTAACATTAGACTTTATTTAATAAACATGTATTTTAACTGTAAAATAAAGACTGTAAAAATACTGTAGGATATACAGTTTTTATCATTTTTAAACTAAAAATTTAAGAATATATTACACGGACGGGGCCATTGTTTACATGCAAAGCATTCTGGGTAAATGATGATGTAAATAGGTCCTCGGCACAAGGCTGCTAGCGAGCTATATCCACCCTGAAGGTTAATCTTGGACAATATCTGATGATCGACTCTTTTAAATGAAACCAGAGAGCGTTGACAGAGAGG